AAAAAAAAAAAAAAATTCTCTCTCTTTAAAAAAACATAATTATGGTTATGTTAAATATATAATAAAATATGTGTACTGTTATTCTATATTATAGTTTAAGAAATCAAACTTTTAAAGAACTTGACTTATTATATTCATTATATTTTATGTAATTTTCCCTATTGTTATATTCAGGTTTATCACTTGAAAGTCTTTGCCACAATAAACATTATACTATTATCTCTTAAAAAAAATAGAAGTGGTCCTTCTCTTGTAAAAAAAAAAAAAAACAGCTAAGGTGGCTTGAATAATGAGATGTAGATTCTCACTAGAGACAAGCACCCTCAATTAGGGCCACACAAGATTAAAAAATTAAACTCTTCCAAATATAAGCTAATTAACCAAAATGACAAATGTTTCAATGAATGAGAAATAGCAGAAACAATAAACAGTGTATTGGGTTTGGCTTATCCTGACTTTCAAGAACTGTGTTAAATATGCAGAATTTTGAAACTTGCTGTTCAAATACTTGTAACCAATGAAAGTCAAATGGGAGTATTTACACCAACATAATTGGGAATACTGTGAATAATCAGGATTCTTTTACTCTATTTATTTATTTATATTTAGAAAAATATATGTGGTTACCAGTATGCAAAAATGGTGAGTTTTGGGACATTAATGTATACAATTGTTTAAGAATTAAGAACACAAGTATGAAAAAGCTACTCTAAAAGAAATATGTGAAAATGTTTTTTAAAATGTTAAAAAAGATACTACCACTAAAATGTTAAAAAATTATTAAAGAACATAGTGCAAAAAAACTGTAAACTGGAATACAGAACTGACTAAATTATATATACTCTAGCAGATCATAACATGAGAAATAGTCAAAAGGGTTAAGATATATAGAGGATAGAATGCGCTAGTCCAATATCTATCTAATAAGTGTTCTAGAAGTAGAGAGAGGCAACAGGAGGGAAGCAATATTTGAATAATGTTGGTATCCTCCTAGTATTCAAATGTGGGTAAGCAGACAATAAAAAAGTCATAATAGCTAATTCTGAAAACTGTTTGAAATTAGTGCTGTTTACTTTGCTGTCCCCTCTTTTGCTATTTGTCTTTATTTCTGGCAAAATATTTTATATTGAATGGATGACACAAGATGGTCAAGTGATAGTACTAATTTGTTGTATGGAAGAAAAGGAAGAATAATTATATTGAATATTAAAACATAAGTTTGGGATAGTAGAGAATAGGACAGACAGCAGAATACATCAGACACTAGAAAGGCAATATGTCAATCAATGGA